GTGGAAAATTTTGAATTGATATGTAAACATAATCCCATGTTACCATATACTCTGTAACATATCAGGCGCAACAAATATTATGTCAACAATGAAACATACACAAACGCGCGCATGTACGCACGCATACACACAATGTGTGTGTGTGTGTGTGTGTGTGTGTGTGTGTGTGTGTGTGTGTGTGTGGGTGTGTGTGTGTGTGTGTGTGTGTGTGTGTGTGTGTGTGTGTGTGTGTGTGTCAGCCTCGTGTCACTCTTGCCCTTTAGCTTTGAAAACGCGAAGGAAAAAGTTGCATTGTCGGAACGGCTTCAGGGATGGACTTTCGAGGCCTTTTCGATGGACATTGTGCCGAGCTAACGAGAAGGAACCTCTCGCCCCATTCAAAGGCGATCGAACGTCATCGAAATATCCGAGTGTGATTTGAGTGTCTGGCTTCGAGCGTTTAGATCAGAGATTCAGCTTCAAACTGCTCGTGTCCTTCTTCAACCAAAATTAGTAGAGTTGCAATCAATGTTGCAAGCGTTCGGTTGCTCAGTCAGCAAGAGCTCTCTTTCGGACTAGTCTTTCTAGAAACTCGAAATTTCTCTTTTCCTCTCTTTTCTCTCTCTCTCTCTCCTTTTTTTTCGCGATGAAAAATTCCGGCTCTGTTCCGCGAAACGAAAGTCAAACAGCGGCCGAGCGAGCGTCCGTTCGTTAATGGACGAAACACCGCGGGAAAAGTTGGCTGTTTGTCCGAGGCATTCGACCGCGAAAATACGATTGAACGTGCACCGGGCTGGAGAGGATTGCGGTCGGCGTATGGAAGTTGACGAATAATTAAAGCGCGCCCTATCTTAAAAAAAAAAAAAAAAAAAAAATTACTTAGCGCGATCTACAGACCACGAAACGCTTTCTTTTTTTCTTCTTCTTTTTCTTCTTCTTTTTTCTTCCCTTCCCCGCCCGAGTAAATTGAACCGGCCACGGTTCGTTTGACTCTCTCCTCTCCTCTGCGCCGGGGGTCATCGTCGAGCCACGTCGTTGCCACGGAGAGCGGCATCGTCGACGACGAAATCGAGAGGAAGAACGTAAAACTCGTCGCGAAGAAAAACGAAAAGTGAAAAGGGAGAAGTTGAGGAGGAGGACGGAGGGAGTTGCCTTCTAAGAGCATTACCTTCGCATTTAACGATAATTGCTCATTCGCCGGCAGTTCGTTATAAGATGAAAGAGTCGTGACTTTGCACGTAGCGGGTCGCAGCGCGCAACCCGTGGAAAGGAATGCGACGCCTCGACGTAAGCGCTGACAATATTCACGGTAATCCAATTGAAATTAATTCTCCAGCGAAG